AACAGGATTCATCACTACAGTTTTTTGAAGGAAAATACACCAATATAATATAAGCGTAACATAATACATATACCTACGCATTCCAACGTACCTACTGACTTGAGTTTCACTCCTATAATAATTTTGAAAACGGTTTTAATTTTGTTGTTAAGTGAACTTATTGGATTCTTCAAGTCACAAGTTAAATTTATTATTCTTAAAAAGAAAAATCCCACTTGAAATTTAGAAAAAAATCTCGTATTTGTAGAAATTTCACCTACAGTTTTGACATTGTTTTTTAATAATTCTCGACTTGGAAGATTCAAAATAGACTTCATAATAAATTAAAATATGTTTACAAAATTAAAAATTTAATAGTAACTTTAGATATTTGCCATTTGGTAAATGGAGGTTAGTAGGGATAAATCATATGTATACATATTAGTAGGTATATTAATATTACTCAACACTTTCGGGATTTGAGTAATTGGCATGGCAAGCATATAGGCGTAAATAGTGTAAATAGTGTAAATGGGGAGGGGGGCTGTAGAAATTCTAGGGGAGGGGCTAAGCACTCCCAGCCTCTCATCCCTATTTACGCCTATGAATTGTCAAGAATAAAATATTATAATATAATGGTATATTGGTATTAGACATTGGTAGATACCTATATTATGGTATACCATGCAGGTGATCCATTTAAGAACGTAATTAAGTCTCTTCACTCATTATTTCGAAATTTTTTGGCTTTTTTGAAAATATTCTTTTTATATAATTTGATGTTATTTATTACTCATTTCAAAACAAAATTTCTGAAAAAAAGTTATTTTATTTCATTTTTTAAGTTGTATTACTTTTTTGAATGAGATGTTGATATCATACATTTTTTATTTCATATTCCGAAGCAAAATATTATTATGAGTGTAGACATTTAATTCTTAAGTGGTTCACTCTGTATTGGACATTGGTATTAGTACTATAATATTTATAGACTATATATAGTATAGTATGGTATATCGCTTACATTCTATTTTTCGTTCCAATATGTACTTTGTACGATGTTCCATCGGGGTTTAAAGTAAAATTAAATGAAGTACAACTAGCAGTCATCTCCATCATGTAGAACGTTTTCTCCACTTCGTACCATTGTCCTTCAAACTGTAAAAAATTTAAATTAAATATTTTTCTCTAACGGACTTTTAAAAAATTGAGCTACGCCCGAAAATATTAATAAGGTAAACTAGCGTCACTAACTTTACTGTTTATAGATACAACCATATAGGTAGGTATCTAATACAGGACTCTATAACTCTAATTTCAAGGGAAATAAAAATAATTCGATTAATGTATTTTTCGAGCTATATATAGATTATAGATACCTCTAAGACTCTAAACACAATTTGAAAACACTTCAAGGGATAATAAGAAAAAATTCGAGTTATCGAAATTTTCGACTTATTGAGGTTCGGTTATCGAAAGTTTATACTCGATTGTGTAATAATATACTAACTGTTTATCTAATAGGTATATTGGTAGTTAAAAATAAATATAATATTACAAAATTATAATAATTATGGCCAGGTGCTCTCAAGCCCGGATTAAGGATCAATTGGGCCCCGGGACACCATACACTTGGTGGGCCCCCTTTCAACTTCAACTTCAAAATAATAAATTGTATTATTACATATTAACGACTTTATATTATTGTATAATTTTTTACATAGTAAAAAATATACAGACACAGAGTGTATCTTATGTCATAGTACGCGGGTTTTTTTTTTAACAATTATGGATCGATGATATGGAATTTCGTTAAAACAAAAAAAAAAAACGTGTTTTTTTATTTTGAACAGCCTTATTTTTTATAACTTTTTTTCAAAATTTTTACACACTCAGTTTTAAAAATAATAAAATCGACTTTATTTTTTTCAAATGGTACCTCCTTACCACAATATTTTTTCATGGATTCTGGTAAAGGTTTTTGTCTGAACATTTTGACAGTTGAATGATCAATTTTAGTTTGCTAGGTTATTACTTATTAACTATGGTCCTCGAAAGTTTAGTATAATATGCATTAATACTTTTGACTGAAATACCTAATTTACAAGAGCTAAATATTTTTTCTTATAACTACCTAAATACTTAAATAGTTAAATCAGTAATCGAAAATGCTCAGAAAAAAAAACCTAATCAAAATTGTGTTTGCAAACACAGTTCATTATTTATAGTAATTTTTCGTGATATAAAATTGAGAACAATTTTATTTTATAATTATTATTTATTAAGTAATAATAATTTACCTACTACCTATACCTATACCTACTTAAATATATATATATTTTTTAAACTGTATTGGACGCGTTAAAAAAATATATTTTGGGGATAAAGATGGGCCCCGGAACAGAGCCACCCTTGGCCCCCCCTTAATCCGGGCTTGGGCGCTCTGTTATAAGTAGGTTCCTACATATGTATTGCACCACCTACCTCTTTCGGGTCGAATGTCTTCATAGTCTCCTTTTTCGGACATTTTCCCAGACTTTGACCGCCGACGAAAACGCTTAGCGACAACAAGAATACCACAATAACAGACATTTTGTTTCGACTGCACGTCCCGGACACCGTTGGGCCGTGTCCGACCTATATAAAACTTTATAAAATAATAATATATCGCGGGAACTATATGAGTAATATAGGTAAGTACGAGTCGCAACAACACTGGCTATATAATATTAGCTGGTATAATAGTATTATAAACGGTCTGGTGCCTACTCAATACAAAATGTATAAGGTCATCGTCCACGAGTCCGCTGTCGATACACTGCAGTGTACCTATATATTATCATTAGTCACGGCGTTTTCTCGTAAAAAAAAAATATACACATTTAGGTAGGTAGGTTAGGTACGGCGGGCTCCCTCTCGATCGAAAAATACCCAACGACTGAATTACCTACTTACTGTATAGTTCTTTCCGACGGCGCCGCACGCGGGTCGAGTGATGGTATAATAATATAGAGGTGGGTGTATCTGCAGACTGCAGCAGGACAACCGGCCCGAAATAATATTATCATATAGGTAGGTAAACGGTAATTTATAATAGTATTACACCTATATATATATATTACACTAGGTGAACGGGTTCTTGCGGCAGACGTGTAGGGGACCTACTAAACACGCGCGTCACTAATGCACGATAATAATCGTAAGTAGGTACAGAACATTACACGATAATATGATCTCTCCGGCGCTGGCATACATATTTTTTACGACGTACACACACACACATACTCCTACCGTAGTCTGACCGAAAACAATAGTATCTCTATTATATGGGTATAGACGTATGGGTAATATTATACGCACGAACACTTTCGCCTGATCATCGTCTGTATCTATACTTAGTCACTTAGAGGCGTTTCAATATTATACCTATATAATAACCAGCGTAGTCCGATCGGAAGTCTTTTGTGACGGAGCACATTAACGTTCAGATCGTCGTACTTTGTGAAATTTTAGGGATGGGGGTTTAGTGGCGTAATTAGAAATTTGTCCTGGGGGGGGGGGGGTATCCAATTTCTTACACACAAAATATTAAATTTTCAAGTACATTGGTACCTTTATAATATTATGAAGGCTCTGAGGGGGTTCTATCCCCCTCATCCCCCTTAAGGTTTTAATTTTTACAATTTATAAAAGCTTACCTTTAAATAGTCGACCCGTTGTAGTATATGGTGACCACTCTACCCTTTATCATAATTCAAAAATGCATATAATTTGTGTTGTAAAAACCGACGCCGTTAGGGAATTTACCTGTTCAGTGTTCATATAACCTATTAAGACGGACATTTTATTAACCTTTTTGTAAAACGGGAGCCGAATATAATATGCCATTTTTCAAGTACCGAAAATACTGCCAGCCCTACAATAAGTAAATTTAGTCATGGAGTTGGGTGCCCAATAATTTGGGTACATTTTGAAAGCACTAAATTGAGTCCCGGGAAAAAAAGATAAGGGGTAAGTTGGGTCTTGGCTTATAGTCTCAGGTATACCTGGCTGTAGTCACCATTAATACCATAAATATAAAATTTGACTTCTAATAAAAATTATTGTAGACATTCAAAATGGGATGAACTAACCTTTTTTTTTGAGACTCAACTTACCTATTATGTTTTCTACCCAATTAACTAAGAAAATTTTATTTGGAAGCCAATATTGGCCATTTTCCAATCCTGAACATAGTTTAGTGAATAATAATTAGATTAATAGGTACCTGGATCATTTTCTTTTTAATCGACAGGTCGTATCAGAAAAGTCTGAGAGGATAATGAGGATATGAGAGGATTTGTATGATTAATCAAGTGATTTTGTATGATATAGTTTGTTATGGAATCGTTTATAAAGTTTAGATGCTTGATTGGGGCCTATTTCGAAGTTATTATTGTGATGAGTTCATTTACTAACATAGTAACATACCAAGGTACATTGATTAGTGTTCTGGCTTTTTGAGGGATATTGGTTGGGGGAGGCTTAAAAATGTAACTCCTTCATAACTTTTTTAATTTTTTTTATTATAAAGTTACAAGTTGATATCACAAAATCAAATACCTTTATAATATTATACTATATTATGCTTAGATATACTAGTATATGATCTAAGATTCTAAGAATATCCTAAAGTCATATACATAATATAATTGTATTCTATTAATTTGTGTATGTAAGTTATAGACGCTGGTCGTGTGTACATTATCTTACTGACCACGGCCAGGCGTATATACACATAGTTTAAATAAATTATTAAGTATACATTTTTGTTTTTGAATACTTGGTTGGAAATTGATGTAAATACTACCCGATATAAAGTGTAATATTTTATAGGTACAACATTTATTTAATATTTAAATAAACAACACACAAAAAATAAAAATACATTGGCTTACCAAAAATGTGGAGAAACATAATATAAAATAATAATAATAAAACTTAGAAATTATATTATAACTTACTTACATTTTCTAATTTATCTACCATTTAATATTTAAAGGTTGATCATTCTTTTTAATTTCTCGATATGTTGTAAATAAATAATCATTTTTGTTGTTTTCATTTAACCAGTTAGAATATAAATATTTTACATTATTATTTTGTGTTGGATTGCTTTTAGGTAACTCATTATAAGTATTTTCTAAGGCATTTATAAATTCTCTATTTGGCTTGAATTCCATTTGTTTCACTTGAGCTCCTCCATTCAAACAACCTATTCAAATCAATTGAGTGGTTAAATATTGTAAATATTAATTAAAACTTTTATAAGATATTTTTTAATTAGAATTATGTTGTAGTAAAACACCAAATAAAATATAAAATGTGCAATGTTAATTTTATATTTTTAAATTCTAATAAAATCTTTATGTATACATTTACAATTTTTATTAAATAAATGATTTAAGAAAAGGTATCTAACCTGAAGGACATGCCATCACTTCAACATAATCGTATGGACATCTTTTACTTTTTAATTTTTGCACAAGGTTTTGTATGTTTCTAAATCCGTTGGCTATAGCAAAACGTAGTACAACAACTCCATTAACTTCTAATGTAGCTTCTTTCATATCAACATTCCTAGAACATACAGTTTTATGCATTACTTAAAATCATTAGTGAAATTTAAGTTTAGTACAAAGTACAAACCGTAAAGGCTTGAATTCTACTTCGTCAATATTAATATTAAATAATTCCTTTGCTGCATTACAAAATATATGATGAGCATATCCTCCAGATCCAGAACCACTACTTGTAAACAAATTATGATTATCTTCTGTTATGTTATTCATCCCTGTATCAAATTTTTCAGGAACTATATCATTGAAATTAATGTCTTGTTTGACCAATAATGCATCCACTTCAACTAAAATGTATACTGAATTGTATTATACTATGTTTGCAATTATCTTTCAAATGCATACATACTGGAAGTAATTACACAATCAACGTCTTTAGTTTCAGTGTCTACATCAAAAAATTGATCCCTCGATGCTTCCAACTTTTTGTCAAAACAAGGCATAACAGTCAAATGATATATATCAGTTCTAGGTTTATTTCTAAATTTTGAAACAAAATCTTTTATAAAAGAACCCATTATTTGCTGTGGGGATTTCACACGACTTATGTATGGTAGTATAAAATTCCCATGAGTTTTCTCTGCATAACACACCCAACCTAAACATAAATAATTAATACTAATAATACTGGAACATCAGTTGCTATACTCTGTCCAAAGAAAAAACATGCCATGACTGTGCTTGTAGAATCCACAGTTGGAAATTTGGTGGGAGCACAATATGTGTTGTTGCGTTGTATTGCGCTTAGTTGACCAGTTTTCGTTATCATGCACTATTTTCCCTCGAGCGACATAGTATAGTCGTAGTATTAGATTTAATCATTTTACCTGGACATGAAGATGCTAACATGGGTAATATTTTCTGAACTTTTGATGCTTTAGCTGATTTATATCTTTCTATAAATTCGTTCTGAGATTCTAATAATGCCAAGTCTTCAGCAAGTTTTATATCTAATACCAAATCTGCACCCAATTTCTTGAAATACCCTATTAAGTTTAAATATAATAAATATATATTAGATATTATAAATTACAATTATACCAATACACAGAGAGTATCATAAAGATTTGACAAATTTACACCATGATTACATTAAGCAATCAATAACAAATGTAATGTATTAGTCAGATATCTTACATTTATGGTACAGAAAAACAACACAGATCATTTGAAAATTGTATAAAATAGTTAGATAAACATATAAGCTGATTCATATTTATCACATAAATAATGAAACAATTAATTATCAACATTAACAATTTATACCATAATTAAATCACTAACAAACAACTAAAGCTTACCACATAATTTTGATGCAGCACATTCAACTGAAATATTTTTACTTGTTGCAATTGATACACATGATTGAATAGAAATAGAAACAACTATGAATTTTTTATTATCAAGTCCCTGGAATATGAGATTAATTAATATATATTATGGAAATAATAATAAATATATACTTTATTCAGAATAAGAAAGGTAATGGGCGGCCGACTAGGTTCCGAATGCCTAACCAGGTGGGCGGCTTAGTGGGAGAAGCATCAGACTACCATCAGACAAAAACCAGTCGCCGCATAGTACCTTTCTTATTCTAATTCTAAATGCAGTATAAGTACAACTTTGTTTACATTTTGTGCATCAAAAACACGCATCATTTCATCAGTACTTTGTTGTTGAACGAGAACAGTTTCTGCTGAAGTTATACAACCACTGCATGCTAAACAATCGGTCAATGAAATTTCAACCTGTTTCAATTTTTCACTTTTGCCACTCTGTAAAAATAAGATCATTTTAGTATTTATATTTTGAAAACTGTCAAAATTAATCTAGTAAATTACATAAATATTAGTAATTTAATTAAGACCTGAGTTTTTTTTTTAATTGAATCAAAATTAGATATATTAAAAGAAATATTAAGTTTAACATCTTATATTTTGAATTAGTAAAATTTACATGATAGAGGTAGGATTAATATTCTTTAAAGAATAATTTGTCAGATATTAATTTTGGCTACTTTATTTTAAACCAGAAACTAGTGAGCTCAAAATACTTGAAACTATTACTGTTATCAAAGGGTAATGCAATTAATTTATAGAACATTTGAACATGTACCTATTGTTTGTTTAAAATTTGATTTAATGAGCAATGCAAAGATTTTAGATGATACTGTGATCATTTAAATTTTCCCTGGCCACAATTGGTACTGGGCCATATGGGCTATGGCCGGTATCTATGCATAGGTTTACAGAGTGACCACAGTATGCTAATCAATGTCTGTATCCAACAGGGAAAGGTATGTCACTTATTTTAACCTTTTTATAGTTTTGATAATATCTAAAACCTCAATAGCAGTAATTAGTACACTTAGACTACAATTAAGCCTTATAACTAGGTTATACAATATCTAGATTGTAGAATATCCAGCTTTTGTTAATGAAGTTTGCATTGTACAAGCGGTTACCAAATTACAGTTGGATAAATGTAATACGGCCCGCAGACAATGAAAAAAAGTAAAATCAATAATAAAGTACATAATATGTAGGCTCAGTGGCCTTACCAGTTTGTTTGATTTGCCAACACACAGTAGCCGTTTTTAAGTTTTTAGTATTAAACGTAATTATGAGACTTCACATAAATCATTTGCCGAAAAATCATAGGCACAATTTAGGGGGGTGCTTGGCGATGCTTAGCACTCCCAAAATTCTTATTAGTAAACCCAAATTGTTGATATCATCATCAAATTTTTATTGACCATATCATTCCATAGGTATTTGGATACATTTATTTCTAAGACCTTTCATTTTTATAATAATAATAATGCTTAGGTACCTATTAGAATAATAATAATTGTTTATATTAATATCAATGTGATGGTGTATGAATGGAGAGAGTGTGGAGGGGAAAGCCCCACTGATCACTTTGGTCGAGTATATAATGGTGATTGCACCATTGTTCTTAAATAGTTAATATGAGTAAGTTCCAAAAAAAAAAAAATCGAAAAATTTGTATGGGGTGATAAAGTGCATTTGTTCCAATATTTGCTTTGAATATTTAGATCGCCCTCAAAAAATTGTCAAAATTCTCAATGTGGCCCTCCAAAAATATTAATTGGTGATCCCTGCATTATACTATACCTAAATAGCTGATAAATATTCAATTAAATGATATTAATTTCATATAAAATAATATGCTCTAATTTTAGTTCCGGGTCTGTTTTTCGCAAATATTTACAGTATATAAAATCTGAAGTAGTTTAATCAGGAGTCATGACTATAACATGTACTACTTGTATCTATTCTTCAAATTATATGATAATAAATGAAATATTTATAGGTATTATATAAACAATTACTTTGGATTCTTGCATATAAGAACCATCGTCTCCAATTTTGATTTTTGCTCCTGTTCCTAGTGATGATTTTTCAAATTGCACAGGTTTTATACATTCCTATAAAATATTAGTAATCAGTATAAATGTCATAAGAATAATAACAGTTCAGGTTACCAGGGACGGAGTAATAAAATCGTCTAAATCAGTTAATTTTAAAGCGCCACTGAATCCTGAAGAAATCATTGTGAAATGTGAATTTTTAAAACTCTGATCCGAAATCAGAAGATAAGTAACAAGTAACTACTAAGTAGACGGTAAGTTAGTTCTTACTTCTTATAACTTATAACTAAAAAATGTAACTTAAACTTATAAGTTATAACTAATAAATGATACTAAATAAAATTCCAATGGTAAACGGTAGTATCAGATATGTGATAGTATTTTGATTTTTTGCTATCAACCACATAGAAGCAGGGACAGATTTCCCGATTTTGATAACAGCGCACAAAATAGCCTGCTGATATGCGCTTGTTTACCTTCACACCTGATGATAATAGTGTATTCCCGTGGACTAGATAGACGGTAAACTTGTAAAAACTAAACTCATGTCTCACAAAGTTATTACTTGTTGTTCAATGGTAAAGTCTTAACTTGGCGCAATGCACATTTTTTAGTGTTTATCGTTGTTCATACTTTTAAGAGGGAATCTGAAAAAGAAAATTTCAAACTAAATGATAAATTGTTATTTATAATATTTTTATAACATATTTTTTTACAAAATGATCAAAACATCAATCATGTCAGTAAAACTATTAAAATATATTGTCTCAAATAGTTGTATAAGGAGCAGAGTACATAATATGAAATATATGAGTACAGTAAATAATGATAAGCTGTAAGTATTGACCTTATCAAATCTGAAAATTATTTTAGCAAAAAATGTTTTAAATCGTTATTTTTAAGAAGTCAAACAAGTAATAACTAGTTTTTCTTATTTTGCTAGAGAATATATTCAAATTCAAAATTATTGAAATGACATTGTACATTGTAGGTTCGATAATATTATTTTTTGAAGACATTTTCACAATGTAAAGAAAAACTTTTAGACAGTTTTAGAACATGTTGGAACTTGTTCAATATACGTCTTCATGATACCTAATTATTAGTTGTTTTTGTTTATACTTATAATTCCCTTTATTAAAAGAAAAACTATTTTATCAAATAGCTAATTTCAATAAATTGCTATGTATTTCTGATATTTCATATTTACTAAATTAAAATTGAATGGAACCATCACCTAAATTCTTCATTGTTGATATCATACTTGATTAAAATAATTCAACTGAATTTTGTCATATCTGTACCAAAATATTAAATGATTTTCCAAGTACCTATATAATTTTATTTTTCAGCATTAAAGTAACTTTTAACAAAGCCAATGGTGACAAAATTACTGCCGAAGGCAAAAAGGGAGATTCTTTGTTGGATGTCATTATCAATAATAACTTAGATTTTGATGGATATGGTATGATCTTAAATTACTGCCAAAAGTAAATGTTTATTAGTATGTTCGCCAAGTTTTATTATATTTTATTTTTCAGGAGCATGTGAAGGTACGTTAACATGTTCTACATGTCATGTGATTTTAGATTCAAAGGATTATGATGCATTACCTGATAAGCCTTCTGACGAAGAATTAGATATGTTAGATTTAGCATATAACTTAACTGATACGTAAGAAAATATTTATTGAATTTTCATATCATAATTAATGATTTTGTCTTTTATTAATTTCTATTAACCTATTAATTCTTTCTCATATTTGATAAGACATTTTAAATTATTTAAATTTACCATAAGCAATTTAATAATTTTGTTATTAAATTGATGAATTAATATATTAACATTTAGTGCTAGCTGTGTTTATTTCTTAAACAAGTCCTCTGGAGAGCTTTTTAAGTGGAGTTTACTGTATTCACAATCTAATTATATCCTAATAAATGTAAGATTCTATATTTCAATTATTGATTGCAATAAATGGAACACAATATTTTATTTAAACTTAATAGTGTTACACTGATTTCTTAATTTTATTAAAATAAACTTTCTATTGTAGAAAAAAAAACTATTAAGAGGACGTGATACTCGCATGTGTTGTCTCCATCTTACACAGTGGCGTAATTTGATCATGGTTGTGGGGGGGGGGGGGTATGAAATGTTTATACATTTCACCAATTACCCCCCCCCCCCAAACATTTTTTTTTAATCATAAGCAATAAGCACCTCTCAATACAAGCAGTAGGTATACAACCATTATGATCTGTACCTATGTAATATTGTAGACACTATACATTAAAATAAATAATAACATAAAATTTAGATATTCAGGTACATTTCAACATTAGCTTTATTGATACCTAGGTCCTAGATACTAGATACGATTACATCACAAATCACAATAAAAGATCCACTCTACGTGGTCTTATTGCTAATTCATTAAGCACTTTAAGCAGCGGAGTGCAGCTAATAGAGCTGATTATTACCAAATGAGAACATAGTAACAGACTAACAGAGGTCGGAGTCTGGAGAGTCGTTGAAATTGGGAATATTCCGATAAACCGATAATGTGGAAATTCCATCACTTATTTTTAGCGGGTATAATATTGTTTGATAATATTGATGGACGATTATATAATATTATAGAGATTCGGGTGAATTTTGTATTATCTATAAAATATTAAAATATACATTAATAAAATTAGCACATAAATGTGTTTGAAAATTTAAAAAAAAAAATGGTCAGGGGTGGGGGAAAACCTCAAATCCCCCCCATAATTACGCCACTGGTCTTACAAGTGCATAACAGCAAATTTTTCACTCAGCAAAATACGTGTAGCTCCATTAATTTAAAAGTTTGAGTAAATTGACCCTTATAAATCTAAAGATAAGATTATTATCTAGACAACCTCATGGGCTTTTTATTATATTTTAATTTTAAAGCGAGTTATGAGTACTTTAAAATGTACAAACGTCCTCTTAATGTGAGTTCTAAATTAATTTAATTTATCATATAATTCATTGATATCAACCAAAATTAATCTAATCTGTTATTTTCTATATTTAAATTATATAATTTTGGTCTAAAACCTACAACTAAACTAATTATCACTGAAATTGTATTACCTAATTTTAACTTAATGCGCAACTAATAAGGTTTTTAAAAGGGCAATTTATTATTTTCAGTATAACAAAGATAGCAAATTTGTCTACTAATTCCTCACCAACTTAAATGTATGATAAATGTTAATCGTAACTAGAACATAATAATTTTGTTTCAGGTCTCGATTAGGATGTCAAATAATTTTAGAAGAAAAATTAGATGGCTTAGAAGTTCAAGTACCAGCTACAGTTAATGATGCTAGGTATAACTAAAACATACATATAAAAAACAATATTTTGACCAAAAATATTTTTTTTCTTATTTAAATTAATATATCATCTATAGACTTTAAAACGAGAGACAAATCTAAATGTTTATGACTATGAGTTTCTCCAAGTAAAACCATTACATTCATGGTTTTTATAGATATTACTAGATTAATAGAAAATACAATTATATTATAATATATATAAAATACGCAATAGAAATTGTTTATAACAACATTGACGACCAATATAAATGATAATTTAACCTACTATTTAATTGTTTGTATTTCTAGTGAGTAATAAGATTTTATTAGCCTTATATAATTTGTGTTGTAACTATTTTTTTTTTATCTATTATTTTCACTTAATATTATACAAACAATTAAAATCTTCTTTAATCGCGCAGGGTACATTTTATTTTTATATCACTAATGGTAGGCTAACTAGGATCTTAACCTTACCTAATGCATCTTTTCTGGTAGGGAAGTGAATTTAGTTGGTATTATGGGAGATCAAAAGTAAAAATTAATAGTTTTCAAGTGTCAGCTAAAATAAAAAAATAGTAAAGCAAAACTGGGATTTCTACGCAAAATTGGTTACCGAAAAAATTGATTATGTTTTTTGGAGTACCTCTAAAATTAATTGTAGATACATGCAATTTTCACTGGATGTTTATATTGTCATTTTCTATACACCATCATTTGTTTAAAATATTTAGATATTGTTAGAGCTATTAATTATAGGCATCCAAAAATTTCGATTTTTATTAGTTTTTTAAAAATTATTGTGGACAAAAAATTTTTGGCTTAGTATAAAAAATTTAAAATGTACCTAGGTAGTACAAGGTTCCTCGTTAGTGTGCATCTGACCTATAATGTTCTATATGATATAATCTAACTATAAAATGTAGAGTATTATAATTTTAAATTTTTGGATTACATAATATGTTTATAGATTCTATAATTTTAATGTATGTTCATATATTTAAAAATTTACATTTTTATTTCAGAGACTAAAATAATGTATGTAAAATTACATTTAGCTATAAACATTGTCTGTGTGGAATGTTAACTCCGTTGTTGCAAGTAAATATATATTAAAATATCAATCGAATTTGAATCCTTTTTGTTTTAGGGCTGTTCTCGCTTCTTTTATTTCCTATAAAAACATAATATAAAGAATTGAACTTTCATAGCACAATAATTGAATATTGTATGTTACCGCTTGTAAATCCTCCGCAGCTGATTGGCAATTGTTGAAAGTTGCCACTCTATACAGTATAACTGCCAACGCAAAAACCTAAATACGTTAATATATTACAATGAAAGTTGTAGGTATAGGTATTTGTATCTAGTTCTCACAGGTACTTACGCCAAAAGAAATCAGTAAAATAATTGGAAGAAATTGTATGACAAGGAAATGTTCCTTGGAAATTTTACTATCGTACTGGTTAAAAAGTAGACTTAACCATAATATAGACAGTATGTTTACACCAACAACCCACTGAGTTAATTTTTTCATTTTATATGAATTTGCGATCACTCCTTAAGTACTGAATAGTAATGAAATTATATACAGCTAGGTTCTCAATCAGCATCCACTATCTTAACGCGCTGTATAATTGGATAAGAACGTGTTGCCACTTGCCGTGTTGGTCGAGTAATACTTCAAAGTTCAAATTTTAAGACGTGTACTTGCGCAGTTATGCAGCGTGCAATGTACATGAATGTCGTTGTAGTCAATGTAGTGTATGCTCATTTCATATTATTAATTACATACTTGAATACTTCGTACAGATAGAATTCAGATAATACGTGATAAGGCTGTCACTTGTGGTTTGTTATTCTCATAGATAATATTATCTATGGTTATTCTGTGTTTGTCACCATTGCATATTATACCATTGTGACATTTCCGTCTATTTACCTGGTATCATCAAGGATATCTTAGTCCGTGTTTATCATCTATGGAGGTTACCACGAATAAAGATAGTACTATCTAAAGCTGTGGAGGTAACTTATGATAACAGAAGTTTGTATCACGGAGTACGGACTATTGTCGCAAATTGCAATTATAATTAATAACTTATAAGTTTTAAATTTTGCTCAGAAATCAAAATGACGTTAGAATCTTTAGTTCATTGTTTCATGTCATTATTTAACCTACTCGTCACCTGGATTGGTTTACGTGGTTCCAACAACATCAACGTGGAAATCGTATACAAATCAAACGATTTTATTATCGTCAACAAATCCGAAGACGTGTTTAGTAACAATCAAAACAAAGGTGCTCTGCTGTACAGTAGATTACAAGTGGGTCACTGTATAATGGATGGTAATAAATTTGAATTCAATGATATAATATCATTGTATAAGAAAAACGATTCTGAGCGGAGACGGTATGTCAGTCTAGGACCTAGGTATAAGACATATTATATACATTATACATATCTATGGTACTATTGTACTAAACCAAAATTTGACTTATAATATAGGTACCTATAATAAATTCCAAATTAATCATATCACAATATCCATTAGGTACTTATAACGCTTTATACATCAACAAAACCGTGATCGGTGATATTATCATAGATATTTAATAGTACACTTTAGAAGTTTCAAGTACCCACGAATAATATTATTCAATCACAACAAAATAACTAAAATAGTTATTCTATGTTTTTTAATATGTAATTTCGTCCAAATTTGAATTTAAAATGTCTGTAAAAAATAACTGTGTTCATATATTTTTTAGATTTTTGGTTACAGTATGAACTATTTATGAGAACCTTCGTTTTAAATTTGCAATCCTTAGCTATAAAAACTGAACATTTTATAATTTATTAATTACAATGATTAATCATTTTTAAGATTTTGATAAATTTTGTCAAAATTCGATCTTTAAATACTTGTAAAAAAAAACTGTGCCTATGTATTTTTAATATTTTTCAACTGATTTTGTAACAATACATTAGGAGCTTTGGGTTAAATTTTTACACTTTTTGGCCCAACAGATAAAACTTTATTGATATTTATAGAAAAAAAAACTAAAAAAAATTGAAAGCTGTAAATGTCCGTAATCAGCTCAAAAAGAGTCAAAATATTTTCAAAATTGTATGGTGTATAGGAAATGCTAATCTAAACATTCAATAAAATTTTCATGTATCTACAGTTATTCGTTTTTGAATTACAACAAAATAAGGAAATCGCTACATGAGAAATCGAGTGAATATCCAATGTTGTAAAAATTTGAATTTCAAACGCTCATAAAAATTTAATTTGACTTTCTTATAGACTTTTTTTTTTGATAAAGGTAGATAATCTTATAAGGAGTCTTGTATTACATTTTCACATCTTAGATTTAAAAACAAAATTTTTTATGAATCATCAACTCAAAATATTTGGTAATTTTCGTGATTTTTCCATATTTTGTCAATTTTTGAATTTTAAATGCTTATAAAAAAAAAATTGTGACTAAGGATTTTTAATATTTTTCATCTGCCTTTGAAACAATATACTAGGAGCCTTCTATTAAATTTTCAAGCTTTCGCAACCAACAAAAAAAATTTAATTGATATTTTTAGAAAAAAAACTAAAAACAAATGGAAAATTAAAATGTCCCTAAACAGTTCAAAATAAATCAAAATATTTTGAAAATGTTATCGTGTAGGTATATAAAATGCAAATATAAACAACCAGTGAAAATTTCATGTATATACGTTCATTTCTTTTTTGAGTTACACCAAAAACCAAAATCGATTTTTTGTAAAACCGATTTTGCGTAAAAATTCCCGTTTTTCCTTAGTTTTTATGTTGTTTTTCCCGTCGCTTGTGAAAACTACATTACTTTTGACCCCTCAAACCACCAACTAGATTCACTTTCCTATCAGAAAAGATACTGTTGAAGAAAATCCAAGCACGTTTACTGACCTAAAAGGTGATGACAGACACAAAAAAAAAATAAAATACATTACAGACAAAATGTAGATCCTTCATAAGTATTGTAAATATTCACATATATACCTAACATTAAATATACATATATATATATATAAATATAAATGTTACCCAGGATCTAATAATATTTTAAATTATAATCATTTAGGTATCTTCATTTGCTAATATTGTTGTATTTATAAATTGTCAACAATAAAAACAAATTGATATAATTACATAAATTATATAATTTATATAATTCTTAAATGATCGTGGGCAAGCTATAATATTATTTTGCTTAACCTTTTCACTGATACAGTGATACACTATTTATCCACTGAAACCTGTTTAAAAATAAAATTTTTATTTTTATGATCTATCTAATTACCTAGTTAAATTTAAAATAATGCGAGCCAAGGTTTCCAAAACTTGTACGGTAACCGGCAAATGAGAATATTATAAAATACATTGATGTAATAGTATGTCTAGATCAGTGGAAGTTAAAAATTGTATTTCATTTTTCATTTTAATATAATTGTTTATACACAACTGTCAAATTTAATTGTTATGCATAAATATATATTGCGTATTAGTGTAAGTTATTTATAATTAATTTGAAAATAATTTTAGAAATTTTTTCAATGATATATTTTCATGCGCTGTATAATCCGAAAATAAAATGTATGCCGTTAGAAAAATTTTACAATCCAACAACTTTTTTTTCATCTATCAAGTGAATACCAATAGTTATTAATAGTGTATAATAATGAGTAATTATATTTAAATCTTGAATAAGATTATATAAGCTCAAGATACATTGAAAATCTTTAATTTTCTAGTTTTTAAAAATTAAATGGCTACCTAACTAAGATAATTAAAACTTTTATAAAGAAGAATAGTTACTGATCTAAGAGTCTAACTAATAAAATATAATTTTTTGCAAAAGAAGGAACCTGTCATTGTTTCACATTTGAACAAATAAAGTTTATTTAATCAAATGAACAAATAAATTGTTTTCTATAAAAAAAAAAATTGTTACTTATTGGTATTATTATTCTATATTTCTAT